CAATGAAATTCAATCCCTCTATGCCTAACCAGAAGATGGCAGTGTCCCCCATAACAGAAATCTAAGTCTATCAAATTAGATCTTGCAATAAACTTTATCATTATTATTATTAAAGTGAAGTGGTATTTTCACAAATTTTCACACTGAGTGTGTTTCTAGGCACATCTTATGTTTTTTTATGTCTACTTTAAAAGGAGGTAGTGAATTATGAATTTGTTGGGGGAGTCTCAATGTGCAAAAATATCAATTAATTAATCTCCATCACATACTCTTCAGTTTCTTCAACTGCTTCAAACTTCTCTTCAAACTCCTCAAAGTGTAAATGTAAATACTAAGAGATGGCAGTGGGTCTATAAAGCTGCTCACTATCCAGTATAAAAACAACTCAAAATAATAGCCATTATTCCAGGGCACTCGTTCACTATGTGATCTAATATGGTTTTTAATCTTGGATGGCTTTCACTTATTCAGACCTCAACATCACTAAACATAATTAAAGAAAGATTCAAAATTATGCATACTTTACAATTCTAAAATAAAATAAAAATTATGTAAATAATTAACTATGTGGTTACGAGAATGAAAACACTTTGCAATAATGCCATTCCCGACTCTGTCCACGAAGCTAAGCAAAGTAGCAGAGTAACACCATTCATGGAATGACCATAAAGTGCCTCAAAATTTACATGTAATTACACACTTTACATTTCCATCTAGGTTACAGAAATACAAAATCTACATTATGTATAGGCTAGTCCTCACAGACATAATTATGAAGGGTTGTCAATGTCATTATCACACAAGCCTGCAGCATTGGTGCCTTCCTGATGAGAAAATCACAACCATCAAATATTATTCTGCTTTTGAACAGACTAAAATGGTCTTGTTGGATTTGGTTGCATCCTTCACAACACTCGACATCGGTTCAAAGCCTCCCAGTTACTCAAAAGATGCTATAGGCGCGAAAGAATCATCGGCAGCCCAATCACATCTGATTGAGTTTGAAGGGTTCTTCAGACATTAAACCCGATAAAAACATTTGAATAACTGTTGGCTCCTCTGCGCTCTCTTTGGACGATTCTCACTAAAGGATTTTGCTTGGTTATAAATAGCATTGATTTTTTCGCAAAAAGGAATCCTCATATTTTGTCCCTCTATTTCTTTACCTGGGAAAAACGGTATTTGCCAATGGACAGGCACTCGACCACTACAGTGAAGCTGTGGTGATATGTTGAAGGTGGTCTTGTTTAATATTCAAAGTTGTTGTGCAATATGCACACAACATGATGATAGGCATATAGTTTAACATTTAAAACCTTAGAAGAAATGGGAACTTATTGAGCACAATCTTGACTTTTGATCGTTGCGTGTCGGCAGATAGGCTAATACTTCAATTTGTCTGCCATAGGACATGCTAAATGACTCCAAGAATCAGTTCAAATCAGCGAAGGGTGAAGACAGTTAAGGCCTACAGTCATTTTCTACTTCATTATTAACTGAGCCCAAGGAGGTAATTATGGACTTGTCTATTTTAAGAACTATACTCAAATGAGGAATGGCCTCAGCTTATTAAATAAATAAAGACCCCCTGATGAAGAATGTGGGCTGGTCTGGTAATGCATAGTTAATGTCTTTTGATCTTCAGACACTGTAATTCAAATTTTGATCATAATAGGGATACCATTAGGATCCATCTCAAAGATCTTGTATTTCATAAATGAAGCCTTTGACTCTGTGGACTAACACACTCATCCACAGACTTACCAGCATTGGTTTCACTGATCATCACTCTTTCACTAAAAATGCTGATCAGGATACAATCCTTTATGCCACGGGTTCCTCCCCTGATGCTGTTCAAGCTACCTTGCAGGAAAGCTTTTCCCAACTACAACAGCAATCCTTTACACAACTCAAACTCACCCTTAATTCCTTCAAAACAAAAACCACACCTCCACCAGCCCTTAAAATCACAATTCACAAACAATTCACTGCATATAAATACTTGGGCATCTGGTTGGAAACTTCACTTTCTTTTTCTATCCACATATCAAAGCTGCAATTAAGCCCAAGCTTGGTTTCCTTAACAGAAACCACATTTTGTTCACCAATTCAAACTTAGTCATATTCAAATGATCATCCTACCCATGTTAGACTATGGAGACACTGGATTGCTTGCTTATCTCTTGACACTCTTCCACAATCAGGTTTGTAACGTTGTGATTAACATTGCTGCTTATTGATGTAGCACCTTTAAACTCAGGGGGGTTGATTCATAGTTCCTCCATCATGGAAAGGCAGCTTAATTGTATCCTAATTAACAGTGGGGTAGCGGAAGATGGATGAGATCCTTGCCAATTGGAAGCTGTCTTCAATCTATTGAGGATGATGTGATGTTGGATGGCGGGTTGGCGGTCCTAAATACGAGTCGACGGGGAGATGAGAAGAGGTCATTATTATTATTTTTAATAAGCATGAACTGAAATCTAAAAGCACAACCCACCAAGGGAAAAAAACAAACCCCCAATATTGCATGAATGGTGTCATTGATTAGGTTTCCCAAAAGAATGTGTTAAGACCGTCCTAAATAGCGTGAGGTTCTTATTAAAGGGCACCTGATGAAACGTTGTTCTGGAAAAGGTTATGGCACATACAGTACATGGCCTGGTCATGTTTCTGCCATTGTCTCAGCTGACCTTCCTTTCTTCCTAAATATGTGTAGGAGGAGAGAAAATAATAATATAAATAAGAAATATAAAATAAAAAATATATAATAAAAAGTATACAGTCACAGTGGTTCATATTCTGCATTGTATAAAGATTGCATTATGAAGTCTGGTAAAAAAAAAAAAATTACACATGGAGTGACAAAATTATTTTCATGGTCTCTCTGTATGAAAGAACTGAAACACAAAATCCAAACTGACCCTATTTACCGGTACTTTATTATAATTGATCTTATTGTGAATGAGTTACAGTGCATGATGTTCCACTTAAAAAAAGGTTGTCTGTGTAAACTTTAGTCAAAATGTTTTATCAAAATATTTTTAAACCACATTTGATCTACAGATAAATGATGTTGCATCCCCTTTTGACCATCCAAACAATTCCCAACAGATATAATCAAATCCTGTTCTTTGTCTGTTGAATATCCAATTAAACACAGAAATAATATACAAGTAAAATGTGGAAATTTTCATTGACGTTGAATAACTGTCACTAAAGTAGTAGTAAAAAACTTTAATTTACAGTACATGCAATAGCAGAAGAGTAGGCAAGTCTGACTGATTTTAATGTACCTCCTCTCACTGATCAGATCTAAACTTCTACAATGGTGATTATAGCAATCATGGCCATGGATCCTCCTTTTTTATTTTTATAAACTCACAATCTAGAGTCACATTTTAAGGTAAAGTGCAGATCACTGCAGAAAAATAATCCTTTTCAGAATTTCAGAACATTCAAAAATATTCATTTTAAACAAATACTGTTTTATATATATATATATATATATATATTTATATATAACAATATGAACTCTTCTTGATTTTCTAATCAATTAAAGGAATAGTTGACACAAAAATGAAAATAAGCCCAGGATTTACTCACCCTCAAGTCATATGACAATCTTCTTTCAGACGAATGCAATGTGAACTACTGCAAAAATGTCCTGGCTCTTCCAAGCTTTATAATGGCAGTGAATGGCCGTTTCTGTTTTTAAGTCAATAAAAGTGCATGTATCCATCATAAAAGTGCATGTATCCATCATAAAAGTGCTATCCATCATGAAAGTGCTTCACACAGCTCTGCTGGGTTAATAAAGGCCTTCTGAAGTAAATCTATGCGTTTGTGTAAGAAAAATATCCATATTTATAACTTTATAAAGTAAAATAACTAGCTTCCGGCCAAACGATTATACGGATTCGACCGCAGTGTAAAGTGCAACTTATGCGAGTAATGCGACATACTGCTGATATTATGAAGCACTACACTACTTCCGACGTTACACGTTGCGCTAGGTGTAAGTTGCATCCGTATGCTCGTTTGGCCAGAAGCTAGTTATTTATTTTATTATATCTAGTTATTTAACTTGAAGTTATGTGTATATTTTTCTTACACAATCGCATAGCTTTGCTTATTAAAACAACATTTTATCATACACATTCTACAAAATATAAAAAGACTCCAAAATCTTATGTATGACTAGGCTACTGAACTGCTTTTTCACATAAAGCCTACTTAATACACAAAGTTAAGGTGTCTAAAATATCAAAATGATCCAAATTTTGCTGAATACAATCTTACCTTCTGTCGTCTGTTTGGCAGTTTATAGTTTTTGGCAAGTAAAAGGCCTTTTAGTATAGTTGTAAAATGTGAAAGAGAAAAAAAAATAAGAATTATTTTTAATCAAATGATATTTCTCAATAATCACTATTCCATTCCACTATGCCCCCTCCCCCTAAATATTAGTTCATGTTTAAAGTGCAATATTCAGAGTGACGCAGTCGCAGTCCCTCTGCAAAGTCAAACCAGCATGACAGAGAACAGATAAGCACATCCACTGAAGCAGCAGAACACAGCGCTGTAAACATCATTTATTCATTCATTCAGCAGGACACTCACTGTGTTCAGGGTAAAACTCCAGCTTTAATAGTCAACTCAATACACGGACAGACAAATCACACAAAAGACATCAGTAAAGCCCCCAAAAAAGGAGGAAGGAGTAGATATCAAGACATAAGTCATAAGTCTTAATATTCCTAACCTGTTTGATGATTTTTCTTTAAATGATGACTAAAACTAATTTAGTGCAATTCACATAAAACTGTAGAAACTTTAAATATACCATCTAATGACTCTCCTCTCCATTTAAAACAACCATATTATGTATTTATCATAAAAAAAGGACAAAATATACAGTTTAATTGAATTATCTAAATGTTTATACAAAATAGAGGAAAATATAAAAGCTACAACCCTTTGGCACAAAAAAAAAAAAAAACTTTAAAAGATATATAAATGCAGCTCTGAAATAACAAAAAGAAAAAAACTTTATTAAAATTCATTCATTAAAACTCCCAGATTAGTATTACAAAATAATCAGCTCATATAGTATCTTAATGGAGATTAAGAGGAATACACGTTGTTTCCGGTAAAGGCCTATTTTGAAATGATGTAAAAAAAAAAATAAAAAATAATAAAAAAGCAAATGGTAGCAACCAAGGCATTGGATTTACAAAGATTTTAGTGTGGAAACTCTGTTACTCATCTACAAAAATCACATCTCAGTGTACAAACAGCAATCTTATGACGAATGTAGTTTCTATTGAAGTTCTCTTATGTGACGTGCACTGTTAGCACTGAAAAAAAAAGAAACCCTGCACTTTATCACCGACTGACAGGGTGCCAATTGTCAAATCAGACTTCCTGACGAAAATATACAGCATCTTCGGTCTACAATTCAGGTGTGATTTAGTAGAAAGAACCTGAGATGAAAGGTCAGTCCAAGCATCACTTAATTTGGACACATAAACTACCCATTTTCAGCTGACAGGATAAATAATAAATCCTGAGAGTAACTGTAAAAACAATGTTGACAGTACAAATATGACTTGCTTACATCAGTGTATCTTTGGCTGATATTACAACACTAACAGCACAGTTGTGTGCTACAAACAGTTAAATTCATCCACAGCAGGTGATAGTACCTGCTTAAATCCTTTATGTAGTATCCAAAATAAGGCTTAATGTTAGGAGTTTTCACTCAGTCCATCAAAGGCATACATCTACAGCATTTGGCCAGCTTGCTTTGCTTCCTGGGTTTTTCGTCCAGCAGACCATCCACATAGTGACCGTACTCCTCGATGGCATCTTCCACACGGGTGATATAAAGCCAGGTAAAGAGCACTCCAAAAAACTAACAACAAAAAAAGAGAGCAATACTTTTGTTCAACATAAATAAATGTAAAATCTTTATTGGGTATTGGAAGGGTCGATTGCATGTATTGCCTAATTCAAGTCCCCCCACAGCAGATCCGGACTTTGATTGGCTCTTCCAAAGCCCTCAACAGATGACCGTTTTGTACAATTTGTGCAGCCTGTTTCTAATGGTTGTCTGATGAACACTCATTAACTGTCGCCAGAACTGACTGCAAATTTTTTGATCGGACCCTGAGGTTCTTTGAGGTGTCAAGTGGCTCTTTTGGTCTTGGCATAATGGTAACATGTACTTCAACGCTTATGATAGAACAAAATCTTCTTTCAAACAGTACACTTTTGTACCTTATTTACTCCTAAAGGGTGAATAATACCTTTTAGGAAAATATTATCTAAATGAAACATTAGTTCCTTTTGAAAGGATATCATTTTTTCCTGAGCGTGCCGCGATAAACAGAAAAGTAACTTTTTCCACACACAGAATGGGCCTTTCTGTTCATTGAAGCTATACAAAACATAACAAAATCTACACTGCAAGTGTAATTTTTTATCAGTTATATTGCCTTTTACTCAATGCCAACCTTTTTTCTTATCTTTTTCACAGCACTGTGTTAATTTGCACACTTCATGCTGCAGCTACAATATTTGTGCAGAAATATAAATCATGTAATAAACAACCGGGGTGGTTTACAGTGTAGGGAGACTGACTAATGACTTTAAATCAACTGCGAATCACCATTTATGGAAAAAAAAAACTATGTCACTAATTATAAAAGCTTCTCGGTTTCAACACTTTCTCATTAAAAAAAAAAAAAAGTCCCGCCGCCTCCTCCCATACACATAAACATACTTGCTCACATGCACACAAGCGTAATACTGAAGAATGTTTCAATGTAAACATTATAATCCAAAATGAATGTCATTGCTAAAAAAGACGGTATATTCATGTCTTTCTCAACAACACCTCTGCTTATCACATATATATTTTAGCATCATTTCCTGTGAAACTACAGGACTGTCTGTCCTGAACTTAGCCCTGTTTTCAGCACCTCTAAGAGTCCTTAAAGTAAAGACTGAGATTACTGTTTGTGTGCATGTGTTTTTCTCTGCGTTGGAGGGTTATCGAGGTTGTAGCATTATTGAAATGACAACATAATGGACACAAAATGTATGTGATTATGATAATCCACATCTGCAACTGGTGTTTTTCTGTGCAACAAGGCACCTCTTAAACTGATTAAAGTGGGGGGACACACTTTAACAGCTGCAACATTAGAGGATGCTTTTGAAAGTGAGACGGATTACCAGACTGCTAATTTTCTAAAACCGGTTTACTCATGGTACTCTTTTGAGAAAAGTTTAAATTCATTTAAACATGTCTCTCTCACCAGGCAGACACCTCTTCATCAGTGCGGAAAACATTTCACGAGGGGATATTATGTAAAGAGGCAATTTAAATACACTGAACTAATGAGCACAGAATAAAGACAAGATGAAATAGCGCCAAAACAACCTTTTAAAGAGAAAAAATATTGGGACTTTTTGATACAGCAAGTTTTATCAAAGTAAATATATGAATATTAGGGTTGTCAAAATTCAACTTTTTGAGCTTGAAGGAGTAGTTAACTTAAAAAAAAAAAAAAAAAAAAACTTTTGCTGATAATTTACTCACCCCCATGTTACATGATATCCCCCAAGATATCAATGTCATTCTTTCTTCAGTCGAAAAGGAATTAAGGTTTTTGATGAAAACATTTAGCATTTTTCTCCATATAATGCACTTCAATGGGAACCAAACGGTTCAAGGTCCAAAAGACAGTTTCAGTGCAAACTGCAAACTGTTCAAAGGGCTTTAAACGATTTCAGATGATGAATAATGGTCTTATCAAGCGAAACGATCGCTCATTTAAGAAAAAAAAACAAAGTTTAAGTTTTATAAGCTTAAATGGTCGCCTTGCTCTGTTCTGTGATGCGCGTTCGTGACTCGAACGAATATTTTCCAGAGTCAACTCGTTCATTTCGTTCATTGAATGAACCAAATGACACGAAAAAAGATTTGTTCATTAATATACTGCGGTGTCATTTTTAAAATGTGAAAATGAAGAATGGTTTGCTAGAAATGCTAAAATGATGGCCTACACTACAGGTTGACAATAAGCACTGTCGTTTTTGAAAAGGAAATAACATTCTCGTTGATGGATACAGAAGAGTTTGAAACATGTTTGTTGTTGTAGGCTGTCCAATTAGTTTTTCTTGTCATTCAGCAAAGAAAGAGAGCAGGATGACATTCATAAGATTTAATGTGTTAAATTTAATGTGTTTAAAAAAAGAATTAAAACTGCAATAATTGCTATTGCAATAATTTTATCTCAAACCGAAGAAAAAATGGAAAAAAAAGAAAAATGCCATTGTTTTAAGAAAAGTGCATAATTTGTAATATTCAAACTGAACCTTCTTCTCTTACCTGAGGTAGTAGGATGCCCAGAAGAAGACCAGCCATGATTGTATAGTTATCCATGAACCAAATAAAGACTGCATCCATGCAACCGCGGATGTAGATGACCTCTACATTTTCTAGTCTCTGTGGGCAAAGTTCAGGCCAGAGAAACAGGTCATATTCAAATGTCATCTTTTCACTATTCTATTCAGAGTCAAATAAAAACGATCTCTTATTAACTACCAATATGCCAATGTAATGTATCGGGATAATTGGATGCTGTTATAAGGCAGATCATTATTCATCTGTGCATGCTGCATATTCTCATAGCCTGTTAAAATTCAGAGGTGGTTGTTCTCATTGCTCTTCCCAGATGATCTGATTACCGATCAGACCTTTGAACTCTCCAAATAACTGCATTTTAACCAAGTGGATGGACACAGAGAACTTTTCAAATATCAGAATAAAATTATAAGCTACTCTAGCTTTCTTTTCCATTCGCAAAAGCAGATCTAACTAAAACATAATCAGACATGAAAATAAAGTTGATCAGGGTTCATACCTCTTTATTGAGGGTCATGTATCCACACATCGTATTAACAACTTCAGAAGGCTGTAAAACACAAGCAAATGCAGTCTTACCATTTTCATAGAAGTAAACTGCGAGTTATCTCGCTTAAAAACTAAGATTGCAAACAGCAAAACCTATGGGGGAAATCTTTTGACATTTTCAAGTTGGATCATACAGTAGATATGAAATGATATTGTGTGTAATGCTAAGAATACTAAGCTTTATAAATGAAGCCGAAATCATTCTGTGAGTAATTGTATTGTGATTACATTTAGATGGATGGTTCACCCAAGATTGAATAGTATATTCATTCATTAATTATTCACCCTATTGTCATGTTAAATCTGTAAGACTTTGGTTCATCTTTGAAAAAAAAAAAGATATTTTAATGTAATCCGAGAGATTTTAGATCCTCCATTACTTTCAACCCATGTTCATCATATAAAGCTATGGAGTCTCTTCAGAAGATGTGGATTAAACCACTTGATTTATTTCTGTTTCTTTTACAAACTCCTTATGAACTTTGTAAAGAGTCAAAGTTATGGCTGCATTTCAATAGAGGGACATGAATATCTCAGATTTCATTTGTGTTTTGAAGATAAACAAAAGTCTTATTGACTTGGAAAGACATAAGGGCGAGTAAATGATGTCAACATTTTCATTTTTGTGTGAACTATCCATTTAATATCTAAATGGATAGTTCTGACTCTTTAAATCAGTGCAACATGACCTCATTCAAATGGAAAAGGTTCCTTATACAGATCAGACTGCATCAATGTAGATAATTTGCCTGATAACAACACAGCATAAGCTGCAGATGACAGGACCGACTTACATTTAAAATGACAAGCGCATCTGGTGACAACCCAAAAAGATAAACTGATAAGTGGATTGAATTTAATCCTTTAATGGATCCTTGGAACAAATTCAGCTCAAGGGAACGTAAAAAGCAGGGATATAGGGTTAAATAAAGCTAAACATTCCTTTAAACAATATATGAGTTTTATTAATATGAGGGTCACAAACAAAAAGTACGTTTTCAATACCTGGTTTCATTTTGAAACAATTTAAGATAAGCACACACTTGCAACTAAGGCACCTTGAAGAAATTCAGCCTGAAGGGCCTGATATGATAAAGACATCATAGGAACCATGCCTTAAGATAATAAACTTACTCTGATACTCTGATATCATTATTCATATATATATAAAAAAAATTTGCACAGGGATCTTTGTATTTGGAAAATGCATCAGCCAAATTATTCTATACTATTTTTTGAGCAGGGTAAGTGGTGTAAGGTTTTCTGATTAGAAGCAAAGAACAAACATATCTCCATCAGTCTTAATAAAGTGGGATTAAAGATCACTTAATTGGTTTTAAAGGCAACATCATCAGATTAGATTCTGATATTCAATTCCAACCAAAACATTCTGATGTAATCTTCACATATTGAAAGCATTTTAGTGTATTACTTTGTTTTAGACCAGGTAATGATGAGGTAATGTTTGTCCAGGTAATCCCTACACAGCTGGATGTTGGCAAACAAACTCTGTGCTTGTTCCAAAACTAATGAAAAATTAATGTCATTTTGACTGCAAGACCTGTTTTAGTATTGCACTTTAAAAGGACCTTTTTTTCAACTGTCCTATCCAACTTCAAAAAATGACATCTTTTAATATTCAGTTGAATCTAATACCTACTGCAGTGACATGTTACTAACATTCTGGCTTATGTTAAGAGTGTTTGGCAAGAAAATAAATGTGCAGGATACACAAACTAACAAAAATAGCTGGCATCTTTATTGTAATATGGGGTAACAATACCTTCTTGAGTAAAAATCTTGCATATGCGTCATTCCTTCAGTGTAGTATATTTCCATGTCCTCATCATAAGTCACTTTATAAGAAATATTCCCACCCACCCCAAAAACTTGAATGAAGGTGAATGGAATCTATTGGTGTTTGGAACAACACAAGGGTGTGTAAATTATGACATAATTATCAACATTATTATGTGAAGTACCACTTTAACAAAAGTCAGGTCCCTTCCATCAGGAAATGACATGATTTTTGGCACAACAGCAGCAGCACAAACATTCCTCCCTAAAATTGACACTCGTGTAAGCAGACTCTCAATCCCTCATTGAACTATGGCTAACTCTAGCTCTTTATTTCCATCATGTTTGACAGTTTGTTCATGTTATTGCCATTGTGTAAATAATCAAGCTTTCAATCAGTGCTTCATCAGAGCATATTTTTTAAAGTCTGGTACCCTTTTATAGAAGTACTTCTTAAAATGCAAAACAAGAAAATTCACTTTTAGCAGTTACAGATTTCAAAAGGTACACAGAACAGGAATGAACCAGATAACGCAGGATCATTATGAGCTCAACGTTTCCATAAATGAACAAATGTAAAGCAAAGCAACTGGCTGTTATGGAAACCCTGAGCAGAAAACGCCTCATATTCTACATCATTTCAAAAATGGACAAAGTTCCTTCTTAATTCACTGATGTAGTGACATTATTTTCGTACCTGTAAAATTGAGCAGAGCTCAAATGGGACAGAACAAAGCTGAGGAATGCTGAAGCACACAAAATGATTTTTTTTTTCTTTTGTGTGTTTTATCTTTGTCTTTTATGTCTCCTTTGAGGTAAGCAAACAGTAGCCTTGTGAAAGACTCAATTGCGTTTGGTTTAAACCAGGGCAGGTCTAAATTAAAAAATGTAATTTTTATGAGTTAACATAAAATACCACAAAATATTCTGTAGGATTTTGTTTACCCCAGGATTTTATATACAAAAACAGTCATTACTCTAGTCTTCAGTGTCTTATTATTAGCAATGTTTAAAACAGTTACGTATACAATTTTTTTTTTCAGGATCATTTGATGAATAGAAAGTTCAAAAGAACAGTTTATAATTGAAATCTATGAAACAATTTCAATTTGACAAACTTTTGAAGTGGAAACTGCTTTATGAAAAAACTGGACTTGATCTGTGAATAAGTTCACACTGCAAGAGGAAGGAAAAGATATTCATGGACGAACCTTGTTAATACAGCAGGTGTATGGCACTCCACATGCTAGCGGACCAGGAGCAGTGCAATTATGATACATGTTCACCTCCCAGTCCTTGTACTCCTTTCCCCCACAACATTTGAACTGGAAAAACACGAGTCAAAGCATTAAAACCACACAATGGAAATATCAGCATAACTTCAGAGGATGTGTTATTTTTGGTCAAGCAGGTTGTTTTCTCATCTAGCACTGCTGAAGATCGGTTGAGGTTATGCTGTGGTAGAAAACGGTGGATATAACAGTCATATAAGCCTACCGGAAGAATATTTGTACACTAAACAACAATTGCGCAAAGGGTTGAATTTGCCAGCATGCCTTCTGTTAAATTGAACCTTGGTTGACAGGGAATGAAACAAGAGAGGTGAATGAATAATCTGAGCTGCTTTGTATTAATTTATTGAGCCTGAAGCTTTCTGAGAACAAGTATGAATAAATATTAGACTCCCGTCTTCCCTCGCCTCACTGAATAGCACAATTCATATTCTAGTACATTACCTCATTTAAATGGCAGTGAATAACATTTGAGGAAATTACTTAAGAAATTGGTTGATTCCCAAAAGAAATTTGCACTAATGTACAATAATTATATGGCCATCAGCAAAGAGCATAATTGTTTGATGATATCCAATTGCAAAAGGCACATAAAAACTAATGCAGCGTAGGGTGTCCAGTCATAAAACAAATAAATGAGGAATGACCAGAGGACCCCTCTGGGAATGAAGCTACTCTCACATGTTCCAATTAACAGGCTCCTGTGCAGGGTTCACTGACCCTTACAATAATGATAATCTGGGAGATCTGCAAAAATACTCTTCACAAAAGAGTAGTTTACTCACCCCCATGTCATCCAAGATGTCCATGTCTTTCTTTCTTCAGTCGAAAAGAAATTTAAGGTTTTTGATGAGAACATTCCAGCATTTTTCTCCATATAATGCACTTCAGAGGGAACCAAATGGTTCAAGGTCCAAAAGACACTTTCAGTACAAACTGCAAACTGTTCAAAGGGCTTTAAACGATTCCAGACGATGACTAAGGGTCTTATCAAGTGAAACGATCGCTCATTTAATAAATAAATGAGCATTATATGGAGAAAAATGCTGGAATGTTTTCATCAAAAACCTTAATTTCTTTTCGACTGAAGAAAGAACGACATGGATATCTTGGATGACATGGGGGTGAGTAAATTATCAGCAAAAGTTTTTTTTCGAAAGTGAACTACTCCTTTAACACAATGCCAAGGAGGAAAGACCTCTGTAATGATCTTAGAAGAGCAATTGTATCTGCCCATCTATCTAGGAAGGGATATACAGGCCTTTTCCAAAACAAATTGAAGACCATCTTTCTACAGTAAGGAAGATTATTCACAAGTGGAAAACAAACATTCAGACAGTTGCCAGATCTTCCCAGGGGTGAATGTCAAATTCACCCCAAGGTCAGACCGTGCACTGCTCAGAGAAACTGCAAAACACCCAAGAGCTACACCAACTGGCCTCAGTTAACATGTTAAACGTTAGAGTTCACAGCGGTACAATTTAAAAAAATACAGGATAAGAATGGCATATTTGGAAGGGTCGTCAGGAGAAAGCTTCTCTCTAAAGGGAAGTCAGCACGGCTTAGGTTTGCAAAGTTGCATCTAAACAAACCTCAAGACTTCTAGAACAATGTCCTTTGGACAAATGAGACCAAACACAGCATATCAGCACAAACACCTTATATACCAACTGTCAAGAACTGTGGTGAAGGGGTGATGATTTGGGCTTGTTTTGCAGCCTGTGCTTGTTTTGAGAGACTGATAAAGTCATATAGAAAAGGATTACTTATTTTCTTTTATTTTGTATTTATAAGAATTTTAAGATAAGAACTTTATAAGTTATTTATGCTATATATATATGGAAGAGATATTATTCAACTAAGCTGTCTTTAATTGATCAAAAATGTACAAAATACAGCCATGTGAATTTATATAAAATATAATTTTTTATATTGCTGTTGTGATGAAAATATGTTTCTTCCTACATAATTTTTTATCTGACCTTATTAAATGTTACACTTTTTTGTGCAGTTTATAACTTGTGAATACTGAGGGGTTGTAAAAATACATGGTTTCTTACTCTCTCTAATCTAGTGAATTGATATTTCGATGTAGACTTGCTCCCTGTGCTGTTTTTACTGCCAAACAGACTAAACACATTTTCCTTCTATGATTTGGAATCTCACTCCCTTAAGATAAATATTATGTGAAGTCAAGATCAAATGCTGTGTCATGTTGATTTTGACATACTGTTTGACAGCAGCCTTTGCACACACAAAAAAATCTAAATAAAAATTTCAAATAATATAAAAATGAAGGATGAAAAAAAATAATTCAAGCCACATTTGTGAAAAGGACTTAAGGTGGTTTAAACAGAAAATAATCCCTTTATCTTTACAATGTACCAAACTAGAGTGAAATCTTTTTTTTTTCGACCATCACACTGTGAGGAATGATTACCTGGAATTGACTGGGTTTAGAGCTACAGCTTTAGTTTATTTATTCCTAATCAAGTCAAAATTTCTAATTAAATGAAATTGCTGTAATATATTTGAACATAATTAAGCACTGCTAAAACAGCTCTCTATAATTACTCATATTAAACAATTTATGCAGATGCTCCGGGTGAGGTTGTGTATTTGAAGGACTAGAAGACATCCTAATGCACTTGAATGCATCATAGAGCCACTGGGCTCTTTGACTGTGTTGCCAGAAAATGCCTATGCATTCAATGTTTTGTAGATGTACTTAGTAGAGCTCTTTGAATGGCCTCCTGGAACAAAGTCTAAATCTATTTACTGAAAGTCTTCGTATCATTTCTCACACATAAAGGTAAAAACTAAGCAATTTCAAAAGCAAATGGTTGGTCTCAATCTCTATGTTATCTGTGCACTCAGGAGTTGTTGTACCTAATTTATGGTAATTAATAACTACTCCTCATAGTCACTGGTCTTTGTTGATTTAACTATAAAAGGGAAATGCCACTATCTGACATCCGAGTTGGATTATAGGGCCCTTTCATTTCAACGATGCAGAAAACACAGATGAAATTGCGCAATCCAGACATAAAAAAGGGATATAGCCTACTGTATAAAGCTGTAAATACTGTATAATTTTTAGATTAATAAACCAAAAGTAGTACTGTATACTTCAACCCCCAATTTTTTTTTGCAAATGCAATCACTACAAACCACGAAAATATATGTTCCATTTAACTTTAGGAATTTTTGAGAGAATTTATTACTAACAAAAAAATTACAAAGAGAAAAGCTGTTGTGCAGTCAATTTTTGCCAAAAAAACAAAACAAAATTTTTTTGTTGCAAAAATGAATATTTTTATTTTTAAAAGATTGATTAAATTGTTCAAGTTTTATGATGAATTTGAATTAAATCTTAAATTTCTATTAAATCAAAAAACATAAAATTAATTTAAACAGAATTTAGGACAAAAATACAATATGGAATTCGGTCATATTACTGTAACAATTTTAATAATTAATTCAATTGATTATCTAAGCCTTACGATAAATCATAATTTATTAAAAGATATTTAATTTAATCATTAGAAATATTAATTAAAACTGCTAAAATGGAATCCAGACAAAAAATAAAACTAAAAAAAAAATAATAATAAAAAATGGATTTCATAGGCCCCTAGTTTACCAACAAATGATTATCAGGAGTATAAGCATTTATGAGCATACCAAATCCTTTCATGTGCTCCGTGATATAAATCTCTTACCTTATTCTGAACAAAGTCCATTATGTTTTTGAAATCAAGGTCATCATAGTAATTCACCATGCCTTTACGAATGTTTTTGTTGAGAAGGTCCACTGTCTATTGGACAAAGAAAGGTCAGTGTTATTATCAGGAAGATGTTGTTTTTGCAACAACATTTCATAATATCCCTATGTACGATGTCAAGCCCTTGTTGTTTCTCATCTCTTTTAAGCACTTAGAAATAATCTCAATAAATTAGCAGAATCCAGGGAAATTAGGTTCTTTACGAATATGACCGAAAAGTTCACAATGATGTTAATTATGTTCTGGCATCAAAAATATTCTGTTATTGGTTGCTAAAGTGTCAAGAAGCCAAGCAAATTTTCACTTCTGGCTGACAATGAAATTCCACAATCTGTTACTTGGAAATGACAAGGAAGAAACACATACAACATAATACAACTAACAAAAAAAAAAACAAAGGTTTGTACCTGGGTCCTAAAGATCAAAGCAACAATCCCACCGACGAGCTCCAAAATGAGACAGAGAGCGAGCATGTAAAGAAACTGCAAGGCACGAGTAAACAGTAATCAGAATCAAATGAAACCACAGTCGCACATCTCAAATTCTGCCCTACTTGGGCAGTGAGTTCATCCATTCATTTGTGTGTACAGCACAAATGACATTTTCAGATGGCAGAAGGACCAGTGAATACAAATAGTTAAAAACATGATTCAATTCCCATAAGTTTGTTTCCTTACTATTGTGTGCCCCTTTACAACCTTTCTTTCCTCTGTGGAATGCAAAAGATATTTTGAAAACTGTTTTTGTCCATCCATATAAATGACAACATAGATATTGACTTTCAATATACAGACAAAAACAAAACGTGTTCTTTTGTGTCATACAGATTTGGAATGTCACGAGGGCGAGTAAATAATGAGTGGATTTTCCTTTTTAGGTTAAACTATCCCTTTGAGCTTATAATATATATATTTTTTGTTTTCTCTGTTTAAAAAGCATTACAATAAAGAATAGTAGCCTATATGAAGTGTTTATGAAGAGGACACTATTTAAGTGTCTGATGGATAAATTAAAACTTACCACTTTGAGAAGACACAAGTTGTCTCTGAGAGACGCCAGAACCCCAATGAAAGAAACGATGAACATGACCACACCGAGCACAATGAGGATAATGGCGGGAGCCAGGAACACTCCTTCCAGCGTTTTGTACCGTTGCCTCTCCACCTCCGCGTAGATGCCGATGGCCAAAATAAAGCCCCCTATCAACTGAAACACATCACACAAATCAGATCAGACCATTTGGAGTTAAAGTAAATTAAGATTTCACGTGGGATAATCAACACTATACTACCTTTAAAAGGGAGATGGGTCAAAAGCAACACAAAATAGTCAAAAAATCTAACATGGATGATGATTATCGAGCCTAGCAGTATTTTAGTTTTTTTTTTTCATATTTAAATGCAATACGGTTAAAACACGAGAAAAGTAGAGTTGTTTGGAACATTTCTGTGTCAGACTGAAGAGTAGTAGAAAGTAAATGTAGGAGAAGCATGATGATTGCTGAAGCTGTACAAAAGTAACACGGAACTGCAAATGCACTTCTGTAACCCAGAGAGAAAAAAAAACACGAGCTCCAGTGACATGGCTTAATGGGATAATCAAATAATAACCTTTATAATGCTGTGCTGGTAAATTGCAGCAAAAACACTTCATGTTTTGTGTGTGTGTGCGCGCATATGGGCTTTACAAAAAAAATGCTGTGCTAATGCGTTCTTTCTGTTCCTGAACTTCTCTTCTTATTCAACACCACACCAAGATGGAGAAGTAATCTTCTTCCTTAAGTAGAGGCATAATCAGTATGTACCAAGGGCAAAAATCATTGCCAGTGCATTAGTAATATTATATTATAGTGTGTAAATCACTAATTGTTTTAAAATGATACTGAACTGTTCAACAGTCCAGAGGATCAAATTTCAGAGGGAGGCAGATCTGGCTATATTGTATGGGGAATGTGAGGGGGTGTAAAGGTAAAACTGATGAAAATGTGTTTGTTTAAATTAAAGCTCCACCTCCGTGTCTGCCATCATCTTTAGTTTGCAGAGGACTAATGGACTGAAAAGAGAAGACGGCTATAGCAATATAAAAACGTTAACTTCTCTTATGCGCTCCATGGCTGTATTTTGATCATTATCAAAAACTTATTGTGAAATATTAAGATTATTAGAGTAATACAAACAGTTTTCTCTTTTAATATATTCCACAAAAGTCATTTATTCCTGTGATGACAAAGCTGAATTCGCATCAGTTTTCAGGATTTTTGGTCTTCAATGTCACACAATCCTTTATAAATCATTTTAATATACCGATTTGAAGACACCTGTGAATTAATGCTACATTTTTTTTAAATATTGTATGTCCACAACTAGAAATAATTACTTCAATGAGCTCATTGTTGCCTTAAATTATACATTGTTAGCTAACTGTGTGATTTGAACATTTCTGAAATACATTTCTGAAATACATTACTTCAGCCACCTGTAATAACATATTGCAAACTGCTAAAGGTCTGTATATTTTGCCAATAAGCTTGATTTCCAATGAGGGTTGAAGAATTTCAGATAAAACTCATAAAAGCAAAAAAAAAAAAAAAAAAAAAAAAAAAACAAAACATACTGATCACAAAATTTAAACAGTAGTGTGAGACTTTGGCCTGACTTGATTTAAACAGCATTGTGCTAAGTTGCTTGGTGATAGTCAAAGATTGAACAATAGAGGGAATATGATTTTGAGCAGTGAACGAAGAAGTCAGAGTAGCCTGGTTAACCGTTATAATTGTTGTACTTTATCCTAAAATGTGTTTTCAAAATCTGCACAAAGAAGCAAAAAAATGTATGAAATTAACGTGATCATGATGCTTAGAAATATGTTCATGTCAGTGACTAAAATCAAGTAGGAGACACTGATAGACTAGAACTATAACAAAAAATGTCTATATATTTAGGTCCCTCATGAGGTTTCAAAAGCCTCTTGGGAAACCGTCTGAAAGTGTCAACCAGTTCAAAAGGACTGAAAGCATTAAGGTTGATGGAGTCTGAGACCACCACCTCATTTCAATAGAAACCAGTTCTATCAGGTCATTATAATTAATTTATTTTCAGCTTTATTCCAAACTGCACTGCTGAAAGATTTTTATTACTTGAAAATATATGAAAACAAACATAATCCTGATAGCAACTTACAAAATGTCTAGAGGTCTTCAAACTTTTTCAAGGGGACCCACTGTCCAGCAAAGTTTATTTCCAGTGATCCTGAACAGCTTGATGGGCTGCTCCAGGTGTGTTTGACAAGGCACCGTTAACACAACATAGTTTTCCATCAGAAAATATAAAACTGTATTTTGGTCTGAAAACGCGAACGAGTTTTTGTTAACGTTACCTTTGTTACTGTTGTGTTATGTACTAGTTTGTACTTTCTGTTTGAGCTGCCTATCTTGACCAAGACTCCCTGGTAGAAGAGATATTGTATCTCAATGGGACCTTCCTGGTAAAATATATATATATCTTTTTTTTTTTTTAAATACTATTGAGCCAATCAGAAAAGTTAGCACTTTCAACCTATTCAAATCAAGAAAGTTGTACGCACAAAAAATAAAAAGACAGAGACATGAGTGCATTTAAATCAACAGAGCAGAGAACAAAAACAGAGATGGTGTGCGCCCTTGCCTTTGTGAGCAGAAAAGCCATCCACACATAAAAATGTAACCTTTGTAGTCTTGTGTGAAGCACATCCAAAAGGTTTGGAAAACCCTGATGAGAGCAGCACAAAGTGTGCACTAGGTCAGCCAGTACGGCAATACTGCTGCCAATGGGCCACCAAGAAATAGTGTCCTGTGGGAGCATTTCTTATGCTGTTACTGTGAAAGGTTCAATATGTGCAGTCCTGCTCTTGACAAAAAGCTATGGGAGAAGCACAATGGTGCAGCCCATATAGCATTTCAAACTCCTGCTGCTTTGACACCAGCTCTTTTCACACAATAGTCTATTTTAAATACAGATGAGAAAAAAAGATTGAGAATGTCATAGTGCATACACCATGAGTGGCTCAAACTTTGAATAATAATACAATGAAAAGAATTATCTGCATATAAAAGAGTATTATCAAAGCATAAATGACACATTAATGTCACAAATGTGACAGGTTTATAAAAGATTGTTATATGAGTTTATGAAAACATGACACAAATGGATGACAAAATAATTTGATGCAAAAAAAAAGAAAGAAAAGAAATAAAGAACAACAAACATGGGGAATGGAAACATTTAAGAATAATGAACAAACAGGAACACATTGTATCGTAATTATAACTTGTAACTGAATTTATGCTTTTATAATTTTAATCAGATCTGAGTCTGAAAGGTTTTCAAATTAAAAACGCCAAATCCCAGGGCTTATGTAACCCCAAATTACTCTCTAGTTTATTTTTTAGTAAGTCACAGTTTGACAATAGTACTTAATTGTATTAGATAAATTGAAAACTAAAATACAGAAAGACTTGCTTGATGATGTTTTGCATTAAAAACACTAGATTAGAATATTCAATAATGTTTTTTAAAATGTACAGTACAATTAGCTTATGTGTGGTTATCTAGATAGAAAATATATTATAGGATCAAGCATTCAGGACACATGCAAACTATTTTTTATCTTTCAACTGCTTAAAAGAACAATCCAAGGAAACACACACACACACACACACTATAGGAAAAGGAAAGGTCTCACAACAGACTTCTGTCTATAATAATTTTATATTGTAATATGATAAAAGCGGTTAGTTAGATTAGATAGATTATAATCCTATAACGCATTTCCAGATAATGTATCCTATTCAATTTTGTGGTGAACAAATCTGTGCTCCGACTCTTGAATTTTCTGTATTATAAATATGCTCATAGAGGTGGGAAAGAGTCCTCAAGTGCTAAATTCTTAAAGAACTCAAAATTGATGTTCCACATGAGAGTGTTTATGTGCATTTGACTCCATGGTCACAACGAAATTTGTATGACTGCGCAGTAGGCTAAACACTGGTCCTCTGATTGTCATAATGTAGTCAATAACAGAAGCAAGGTTACCTACCACTCAAATGTGTCTGTTTCTGTTTCGATCTCAAAAGGAATGTTTTTTTGGTTTGTGCCCAGATGAACATATCAGTTTAACAAGAAAGGTCTTGATATTTAAAGAGTAGGCTATATTACCTAGGCTACTTTAATTAGGCTAGTTACCTTAATTTTTCCGCACTTTCAACAGCGACGAGGTTGTATGTATAAAGCAATTGATAACGTAAAAAAAAGGAGGGTGGGGTCAATAGCACTGGAACAGGTTAATGGGCGTAGTAGCATAATTAAAAATATATAAACATATACAAATGTTGCTTCTAGCAGATTTCTGACATTCAACTATATTCTTTTCTTTCTCTCTGTTCTTTCAGATTTTTTAAAGCGCTCTTGTGCGCATCTGCTGAGTCTCGTCCATTTATCATACGGATCTATTACACAGGATAAAGAAAACAATCAAACTCACCCAGAAAATTGTTGCATATACGATTAACGAGAACTTGAGAAAGATGTACGAGCACCTATCGCAATATCGGACTTCTTGTGACATGTTAAAAAACGTAAAAATGCACGAAATACGTTCCCGTAAACACTTCCTGGTTTGATAGTATCGTCGTCTACCTGAGCGAGCAGAGCACGCGCCCCATTGACACAAACGCCGACATGAATCACAATAGTTTGATTGATGGGTGGGTTGTCCAATGAGAGAGCGGAAGGACAGTTTATTGTTTTAGAGCTCTGAAATACATTATAGACTCTTTAACACTATGCTACAGTTAAAACTAAAACTTAAAGACAACACAAAACACTAAACAAAAGCCAATTAAAGCCAGTCACATTTAATTTATAATAGGGCTTAGGCTAATATACAATCAATAAAACACATGAACACAAAACAAATAGGCCTAATTATTGTAATTATATTTTAGATTTACTCATCGCATATAACATAACTACGTATACGTATACGTATACCCTTTATCTAGACTACCTATATATTTATTTATTTATTTATTTATTTATTTTGCACGAGATAGCCTAAATCTCAACAGACTGCGCCAGTAAAATTACTGACAGAAATTCCCATGAAAAGTATTTTTATAATTCACAAATTTAATGAAAATGTCGGATCTGCGAAAACCATCCTGAATAGCCTTTGGTGATTCGAAGTGTCCATATAGGCTACTGCAGTGCAGGTGCTGGTGCCCAGACACCTGTCTCACTCCTCAGACAATAAACAATAACACCTGACACAACTGCAGAAATAAGGCGTAGGCTATCAAGTCAACGTCTCAGCAGAACAACCTCTCACACATGCTCTTAAACTGTGTGACATACATACTATATATTCCCATAGTGTTCGCTGCAGGGGAGTTGTAATTATTACAGTAGGCTAATGAAGCAAACTATCCATTGTTATCAACACGTCAATTGCATGCCAATTATAGTATTTATTCTTGATTTTGCCAGATTTTAGGAGAAGAAGCGTCACAATGCGCGTTGGCAAAAAAAAGTGTAAATCAACGTCACTGCATCTGAACCGTTACCGACACACCTCCAACACTTGTGGTACACACACATTCCTTCAGTTTTCCATGGTGCTCGATCGCTGCGGGCGCAATAACGCACTTCAGCTGGCAGTCTGTACATGAGGCGGTACGAGGCGCACTGACCGCGCACTGTTTGGAAAATGAACTGCTGCAAATGTCCAAAAATACAAAGGTTTACCATGTAGCTACAGAAGAGTGAGTCTCTCACTGGAATAAGCATATTCTGACTGATTTATGCCCTGTGACTACGGACAACTACAATGGATATCACTTTGGACCCCCTTTCAACATCTGTTCTTTACGACGAGGAAGATGGAAACGAAACCTCCACCAATCTGTTCGAGCAGCCGGACTGGCAGGTGGCACTATGGGCGATTGCATACTCTTTGATCGTAATTGTGTCCATCATTGGCAATGTCACTGTTATTTGGATAATTCTGGCACATAAGCGCATGAGGACAGTGACCAACTACTTCATTGTTAACCTCGCCTTTTCCGATGCATCTATGGCAACTTTTAACACTGTTTTCAATTTCGTGTACGCTTTGCACAATGACTGGTATTTCGGTTTAGGATACTGTAAATTTCAAAACTTCTTCCCAATAACAGCAATGTTCTCAAGCATTTATTCAATGGCGGCTATTGCTGTTGACAGGTAAGCTATCTATCTATCCATCCATCCATCCATCCATCCATGGATTATGATAATACTGTAATTAATTACTATCCTATTGCGATACCATGCCATAAACCATGTCATAAAACAGTTACAGCCTGCAAGTTCATGAAAGCCTAATTGATGCTGCAATATAGCTACTGTAACACAGCACACAAACTAAGTTTACCCTTCAGATGGCAGCTGGTTCTATGTGTTCTTTTTTTCCCCTGGTTATTACTGTAATTGTTAAGAGGTTCAGCTGATGTAAATTCTGCATCGAATGGTCTGACATCCACCTAGACCTTGGTTAGAGCTATTTATCAACCAAATTTCAGCTTTTTTTTCAGCCAATGTGCTTAGAAATATCTCTGAAATCCACCACAAACAGGCAAAAGCAGTTAATAATTACTATTACTGTAAAAGAGATGAATATTCATTTTCATGAAGTGATTACTGTAAAAGAACCAACACCATATTGTGTTCTGAGTGTCTAACAAGTAGATGATAATAGAAATTACTGTAAGCACACAGGAAATAACACAACCAATCAATTATCTTTCGGCAAGTGCTCCAGTAAAACATACATGCAGTAAATTTATCCAAAAAGCCCTTTAAAACATTGAATGTTCAAAGAAGGGAGAGTAAAAAAAGTGGTTTTGCATTTGCAGTAAAGGTAACGTATAGGCTACCTTTCACTTTCAATAAGATGGTGTTCTCTGACATCCACAGATATATGGCTATAATCTACCCCCTGACGCCCAGGCTCTCCTCCACTACTACTAAAGTTCTGATTGGAATAATCTGGACTGTGGCTTTTTCTCTGGCCTTCCCTCAGTGTTATTACGCCAGCACCAAGTTCTACTTCCCTCGGACTGTATGTATGGTGGAATGGCCTGATGATTATGGAGGGAAACATCAGCTCTCGTAAGAAAACTACACAAAAGTGACTCAATTTTTACTCACTAGAAAAAAATCGTTACAGTAATACATTTCATTCGATTATCCAATGATGCATATGATAGCTCAATTTTCTTGATTTATATAATTATTTTTGTTTTTAATACAATATCGTGTTTTTTGTGGCACAGATTTGATTTATGAAGTGACGCTTGATCTCACTAGATATCAGATTGCTGTGATTATCCTGATCTACTTGCTCCCTCTGCTGGTGATGTTGGTGACCTATAGTTTGGTGGGACAGAGGCTGTGGGGCAGTGAGATCCCTGGAGAAGCATCAGACCACTACCAGAACCAGATGCAGGCGAAACGGAAGGTCAACAATGATAGTATTTAATCATTTAACCTTGTTAATGATATTTATTCCTGTTACTCTGCAAAGTCCTCAAATTAACCTACTCACTTTACTGTAAGACAGTATTGGATATGATGACTTGACGGCAAATGCTAGTCCACTCTTCTCTGCTTCCTCAAATGATTTACCTTTCCGAACAAGCAGAACTCATCTGCTTCGAGCCGAAATAACGAAACTATTAAGCAAAGGGGCAATAGAGCCTTCATCTCAAGCTCAGAGTGAAGGGGGCCTATACAACAGATATGTTCTGGTACAGAAAAAAGACGAGGGTCTCAGACCCATTCGAAGACAGCTGAACAACCAGGAAAATTCTTTGCATACATTTTATTTTAACGCTTCCTTTTACAGTACAGTACTTACAGTGTACTTACCTAGAAAGTACTGGCTAATATAAGGTAAGTACATGGAACAGGGGTAGGTTTAAGGGTAGGTTCAGGGTTAGTACTAGTTAGTTACTAAGATAAGTACATAGTATTTACATAGGTAACTGGACTGTAAAAGGAAGCGTTAACATTTTTCCTATTCTAAAGTTTTTTTTTATGTTTTTAATTTCAGTTTTATTTGACTGTAATTACCCTACATCTGAATATATTGTCATAAATGAATGTAGTTAAATTCCACAAAGATTCAAAGAATCAATGTTTAAACCTCTACCGGGGACATGCACTTTTTCACATGCATCTTTCACATTTTTCTTTCTTTGGTCAATAAGCCTCTTCAGTGGCACTTTACAGTGATGGCAGCAGCTATTTATGGTTTTAGATTATAGTTCTTTGTGTAGAAAGCAAAAAAAGATTCATGCCATTTTTTTTTTTCAATTCAATAAAGGTTGTGAAGATGATGATAGTGGTGGTGACAACCTTTGCAATATGTTGGCTCCCCTACCACATCTACTTCATTCTGGGGAGCTTCAACAGGGACATATACAAGCAGCACTACATCCAGCAGGTCTATTTGGCCATCTTCTGGTTGGCCATGAGTTCCACTATGTACAACCCTATCATCTACTGCTGTCTAAACCAAAGGTAAATGCACATTACATCTAATGTAAGACAAAGAAATTTAAATAAACACATTTATGAAGATATTTAGGACAGTGTTTGCATTTATGTCAGTTGGTGTGGCAACGATGATCCCTAGAGTTTTTTCTGCAATACTATCATCAATATTTTTGTATTTACTCAATAATTACCTTGTCCTGATTTACTGTAATGCAGAAGAAGTTTGCATCATGCTCTTTCTGTAGATTCCGCTCAGGTTTCCGTAAAGCGTTCCAGTGGTGCCCCTTCATCAAGATTTCTGAGGAGGACAACATGGAACTGCAGCACATGAGGACCTTCCAAATGAGGCGCAGTTATCGCACCGAGACCACCAGCATGGTGGTCCGAAATCATGCCAGTGAACCAGAAGACAACACATCCAAACTAATCAAAGCTTGAGTCGACCATATTTCAGTGGTAGGTAAACAGAGAGAGAAAACACTATTGTTGGCTATTCTTGAAATCAAGCACGCCCACACTTTGCACTTACAGTAATAACTCACATTGTGCTCTATGGTGGATTCAGTGGGCTTTACAAGCGAAGAATTCCTCTATTCCTATATGGGTATAAACACCAAGCCTTATTTGTTTCTGTGTTGCTGCTTAAAGTACTAGTCCTACATATAGATCATGCAGTATGTTCTGTAGATTGTACTGTTCAAACATTTGTGGTTAGTAAAATTAAAGAAATGAATACTTTTATTCTGAAATGATGCAGTGAACGTAACAAGAATACATTCAATTTTTAACATATATTAAAATAGAAAGCAGTTATTTCAAATTGTAATAATATTTCACCAAATTACCATTTTACTGTTTTTTGGTCGAACAAATGCAGTCTTGATTTTTATCAAAAACTTGGTCTCTCTAAAAATGTTACATAGCCAAAACTTTTGAACGGTAGTGTACTTGTTGTTTTATATTTTATACACTCTTCTTTTGAAAAATCAAGGTTTTAGACTTTAAATATTGGTTGAATGTAAAGTGGTGCCTGTAAAATCGACAAAACAAAAAATCAACATTAAATTGGTCAGTGCATCTGTACCAGGTCAAGGTTATGAGATATACTGTACCGTCAAGTGTAAACAGGGCTGTTCTCTTAAATTGACATGGAAGAAAAAGAAACAAAAGGAGGAGGGAAGATGTGTTCCATATATATATATATATATAGTTGTCGAAGACATTGAAACCAAATAGACATTTTCACGTTGTAATTGTACTGTACATAAAGCAAAGTCACATTTCAGTGGTACTCAATGTTTTAGCATGTATTATCTAAAGATATGTAGCCTACTTCTGCATGTACATCCATACATTTGACTGATTTTGTCATATTCAAGTCTGTGTTCCCCTGTCTCCTCTCATGTTTTCAGTTCCCCATTAGTTTGATTAGACCTAGGTACGGGGCTTATGGGAAATGGAGTTCAGTAGTACTCAGGAGACGGAGCTCTGGGTTGAGCGGAGAGAGCCACAGAGGCGCGATTCATGACAGATTTAAAGACAGTTTGCCTTTTATTTCAATTTTATTGTCTTTCTGGTACAGCATTCAACAAATTCAAAATCTATACATAGATTCTGAAAGATAGTTGATTAATAGCCCAATTAAGCTGTATGTTTTACATATAAAAATCATTTTGTGCTTGTAATGTTGTCACACACAGTATATGGTAGTGGTAATATACAATTTATATATTTTTGTTGGTAAAATCTCTGTTTGTTAGTTTTTCTTTTGTATAATTGTCTAAGATCTGTTTAAATGATTGTTCTGTGTTGAAATTGAAGTAAATTAAATAGTAAATCTGACTTGATGTTCTTTACTACACCTTGCAGCTTACAATTGAAGAAGGCTCACATTTGGCTCCCTTATACGCCTTATTCACGGCAGCGCCATCTTTGATTTTTAATGAGAATGAAAGCGAGGCTGTGAGGCATAGACTTGCTGTGACTTCAATGGGCTGTACTGTTATTTAATGTGTTTTCGGATTGTTCTGCTCATGAAACACTGGAAAAATATCTTTGCAAGAAATGTCAGTTGACAAAAAACTCCCGACAATGTAAGCTGTGGAAAATTGTAAGTAATCTAGCCGCTTTATTCAGCTTTTTACAGCGGATGCCATTGGAAACACGGTAAGTCTATCCCTCACAGCCTCACTTTCATACCTGTCATGGCGCTGCTCTGAATAAGGTCTATAGATATAGTTAAATCTTTTAATATTATTATTATGTATGATTGGTTTTCAGTAGCCCATAGTGAAAATTAAAAGAATACTGTAAGAAACGTCATAAAGGGAATATTTATTAGCCTGTGTGATTGGAAAATATCTACAATAAACTTTTGATGCATCACCTGGCAAATGAATAGTCAGTTCATTCATTCAAGAAATAGCCCTCTCTCTCTCTCTTTCTATATATATCTATATATATATGTATGGATTTTTTATGGCATATAAAATTATCTCACAGAATGTAAATAAATACTGAACAAAATAATGCTACATTGTTTGGCCAACCACGAAGGAAACCACAGAACACAATTTCAGTTGATCAAAATATTTTTTATGGTTTTCTTCTATAGGTTTATCCAGGAACATCTATTTAGTGCAACTATGAAATTGTACAAAATCAGTGAATGCTAGACCTTAGTTACCAAATAAGGCATGCATTCATCAAGATTTCAGTGCCACTACACAGATTCACATGAGAACTACACAGGAGCACTCACAAACAACCAGCCAGAGCACACCGAAGGACATTTACTGGGAATCAGTATAGATAACCCGCATATCTGCACGCACACACACACACACACACACAGCAAAAATCTGACAAAAGCAATACACATGATACAATCTGCTAAAGTCTTCGAGTATGAGGGAATAAGACTATTTCAGAAGGGTTGGATCTGCAAAGGCAATAGGTTTTCTGTTGTTCATTTGTACGGCGACGAGTATAAGGGGCTTGAATTATGCAGGGAGGCAGCTGTGACTGCGAGACTGAACTTGTACGTCTTCTTCACTTCAGCCATGACAATGCCAATGTGGAGCAGACGTTTCTCTAATGTTTTGCAATATTTACAGCACAAAAAACTGCCACAAAGACAAATGACAATACGCAGAGGTTTGGAATTAGCTTGGCATCTTCTCAAAAAAAGTACCTTTCTTTTCCTTTAGGTATCCATTCCTGTTGCGTCTTCCATCAACTATAAAAATAAAATAAATAATATCTTCATATACTTGGTCAAATATCTTAACTTTAATGTTTGCAATGAGTATACATTTCTTCCCTTTTTCCAAATATATTTTCCAATATACATCCATAAATACTTTAACCACAGTTTAACATCTTAAAGAACATCTTTGTATAGTTTGGGTTGTATCAACCCCTAACAACACACATAGACATACACAGAGAAAAGGCTGACAGGAACATGTAGGCCTAGGAGTGAATTACAAAGCAAAGGTGTCACAGCTCTGGGAATGAGTAAAAGGATGTGCCGGGCGGGTTGTGGTGAATTAGAGCCGAGTCACAGCTGCGAGTGGAAATGTAACTTATATGCTCCGAGAGAGCTTGAGGACTTGTTCGATGAAGGGTTCAGCTCTTTTGTTCTTGCTGGCGCAGGCGGCACCCAACTGCAGTGATCAAGGCAGCGCCTTTCCCGCTTCCGTCTTCCGAGAGAAGGAAGGTGACGTTGCACTTGGGGCGAGCTCCTTCACAGTTTGATGCATTATCCGTGAAAAACTGAAGAGAAGGAGAGAATGGGTCAGATTTCAAAGAATATTTACTGTACTCAATCATAAATACATTCTTTCTGCAGGCACTTACTGTGGATGGAGCTTGTACAGGGTGCCATCCACCCCAACAGTGATGTCCAGATGGTCCAGGCTACGGTTCTCTCGGATTTTGTCTACAACTGCAGCCATTCCCGCTCCACAGAGCTGAGCTGCTCGGCGGGAAACGGCTCCGCACACTTCTTTGACGATAATACTGTCATCGCATGTGCTATCCAAGCCCAGATGCTGCAGAATGGACCTCACTTGCAGTAGCGCCAAACGGTCACTAGAGGGAAGAAACAGCATGTTAAACCTTGACCATTAAGCCTTGACCATTAAGCAATCTGAAGTGCAGGCCTACTGTATATAAACAACATTCCAGTATGTCTGGTTTTCACGATGAAACGTGGCAAAATAATCTAAGAAAGTGCTGTAGTACCTCTCAATTTGAGAAAGGAACTTGGTTTCGAAGATACCCCTGGTCTTCAGGGTCTCAGAGATCTGTCCTCTGAAGAGGAAGCCACGCTTTGTCAAGTCAATCAAGATGTTCCGCACAATCTCACCCAGGTACATGCCACTGCACATCTTCTCATATCTAAAAGCAAAAAAACAAACATTTAATATTTAGATATCTTTTAAAAAAAAAGATTTTAAAAGAAGTTTCCAATGTTCACCAAAGCTGCATTTATTTGATAAAATAATACAGATATATTATCAACACTAATATTGTGAAAGTATTTTAAAGTTCTATTTAATCCTGTGATGAATTTTTAGCATCATTACTCCAGTCTTCAGTGTCTATGCTGATTTGGGAGCATTTATTATTATCAAGGTTTGTGTGTGTGTGTGTGTGTGTGTGTGCAAACCATGATACATTCATTCAGAGTTCTTTGATGAATAGAAAGTACAAAAGAACAACATTTATTTGAAATAGAAATCTGTTTTAACTGTCACTTTTACAGTCACTTCCTCTTTCCAGGATTTTATGGGTTTATGGCTAATCTCAAATATGCGCACTAACACTGTGCATTTACATTTTTAAATTACAGTAGCAATACAAACAGTAAGTACCGCATTTCACCAATTCTTCAAGACTAACTTTCTGACATATTTACCCTCACTACATTTACATCCATTTATTTTCTAAACTCCCCCACCCCCCACACTCAACTAGATAGAACTACTCACTTTTGTTTGCCGGCATTGAGGGAAAGATCATCCACAGCATTATCATACTGAGTCCTGATGTCATCCAGGCAGCCATTATCTCCAAATCCTCCCCACTCCATGTTCACACACATCCTACCCTCCACTCCATCGACCGTCTCAATGTTTTGCATTTCCTCCATGTAGCAGGCATTGCTGCCCGTTCCTAAAATCGCAAATGAAAATATCTTAGCATCCTCTGCTGAGTAAAATCTGTTTAAAAGACTCAAAAATGAATACATTTTATTAATTGTTGTTGCATTGTACTAGAGTGTGTAATAGATAGTATACTGAATTTACCTGCGATTAGCCCAACCTCACAAGTGGGTTCCTCATATGCACAGGTCATCATGGTACCAACTGTGTCATTCACTACGGCTACAACGTCCAAATCAAACTCCTGTGCACAGTATAGCATACAAAAAAATTCATCACATACACACATCTGCAATACACAGTCTAAGTAACAATATCAAATTTAGATTTAAAAACAAACTAATCCATCAAATCATCTCACTTTTGTAACAATACTGTAACTCACCTCTCTCCTCTTGATCCCATCTCGCAGGAGGCTGACAACATCTTCACCTTCACAGTCTGTGGCTTTAAAGCCCTTTGTCCAATTGACCAGAATTCCCTGCATCCATCAAAGCATGAAAAGTTCATAAGGATTAATCAACAGTGTTGTAGTACTTGAGACTCGGACTCGTCTCGGTCTTGGTCTTGTCATGGACTCGTGTCCATTTGACTCGGAATTGACTCGTACTCGAACATTTTTTTTTTTAGGACTCGGAATTATTCCCGAGTCCACTCGAGTTCAATTACATTTTTTTTTTCATGATTATTAATGTATGTTAATAAAATATTTCTTTAAATTGATTGACACGCCCAGTGATTGGTGATTTTCTA